TCTTTATTTCGGGCTCTTGGGAAATAAAGTCAGAAGTGTTAATAAGGATATGGTCTTCGAATCTATGAATGGAAGCTGGGGAATGTTGTCCAATTACAATGATCCACTTTGTAAAGGATATGGATCCTATGGAATAAAGATATGCTGAATGTAATGTGCATTAGTACAATCATGTTAGTGCCAGAAGAAAATGGACTGCGAAGTTTCTGCCATGTATGGTGATAACGCTCCCCAAAACAGACTGGACATTGAAGCTATGGCTGGTCTGTGGGGCTCTGTTAAATGGACCAGGTACATGCACGACTGCAATGACTGACAAATGGTCAGGTGCTTCGAGAGATTGATAAACCTCTCATCAATGAGGCTTGGACCATGAAATGAGGCAGAATTTCTAACTGCAGGAATATCTGACCACAGCCCTATCTTGGTTAAAGTGCTGTCTGCCCCTATTAAGCAAAATAAGCCCTTCAAATTTTTTTATTGTTGGGCTGACCACCCTGAATTCTTGAATCTTGTTGCCAGGGTTTGGAGAAATCATGTTCAGGGCACTCCCATGTTCTGTCTATGCCAGAAGTTGAAAATGCAAAGTTGAGTTGAAGAAGCTGTGCCAATCTAACTATAGTGACATCACAAAAAAGGTGGACTGGAGGAAGTAAGATCTCAATTGGAAGCAGTCAAGAAAAGTCTTGATAGTAACCCTAAAGTCTTGAGTGTCTATTACAGATGCCAAGGAAATGCTATAGTTAGATTGGCACAGAACTTGCTAGGCCATAAGGGAGGTGGTACTACGGTATGCATAGAAGACATGAACTTGTGCTATAGTGATCAATTAAATGATGCTCAGAAACGAAACAAGGACGTTACTGTTGAAGGGATTAGAGAAACCTTGTTCTCTCAAAGATGGGAAAGCTCCTGGCCCCGATGACCATAAAATGCCATGTTCTTCAAGAAAGCTTGGCCTGTCAATTTAAGGATCTGCTTTCCTCTATTACATCTTTCTTTTCTTTTTCTTAATTCTGGTGCTCTCTTGAAAGAAATGAACTCTACTCTCACCGCTTGGTTCTTGAGGTCCCTACTCTATGAAGCATGGATACTTCGACGAACATGTCGTACTGGTAATGGGTACTGATACTTTGTATGGTATTTCTGCATACGCACAAGGTATACGAAACGCGTATGCAAATTTTTTTCTTCTTAATTTTTGGCTTACCCTAGACACCAAGTATATTCCCACGCCATAAGCTGGAATAGTATTTTCTTCTATACAAAGGTAAAGTTAGTCTCATTGGACTTACTTTTTTATGCTTAGCATGATTTTAAAATTAAACATTAGCTTATAAATTATTTAATAAATATAGTAACACTTAGTTTCAGTTTAGACTTCACTTTTGGCATTAAAGATGAATTGTAGGGTAGATCTTAACAAACTACACCATTTAACTAATTTTTGCATTAATTCAAATTAAAAATAACTATTTTTTTACGAACGTACCCAGACGTACCCACACCTTACTTTTTTAAATTTTTATCATATAAACATACCCATATTATACATATACCCGTACACATGCTTCATAGTCCCTAATCCTACCCTCTAAAAGTGTATCTTCAAGATCTTGGCTAACAGATTGAAGTCCCATCTCCCTTTGGTTATCGATCCAGCCCAGTCAGCCTTGGTTTTTGGAATTTGAATTGTGGACAATATTCGAGCTCAATTCTTGTTCTACACACATATTTTCCATCACAGAAATGTAATGAATTGATCAATTACAACATAGTTCCATTAGCACCACAACCAATTGGCATAATCGGTGAACCCCAACGGGTTGGCTTGGTGGCAAGGCCTTGAGTCTTTGAGGTGTGCTCCCTCCAAAGTTCAGGGATCAAAACCCTTTCAGTGCTAAATGAAATGGCAACAGTGAGTCAAAACAGCTGACAAATCCAGCAATGTACTACCGTTTGTGTTAGCGTTATGTGTTATCCATTGTCTCTCTCTTCTCTCACTCTAATATATCTTCTCTATGTTGAGAATATTTGTGTATGTATATAAAGAAACTACCTTTCTATGGTAAGGTGGCTCTCTGCATACTCAAAGAAGAAGGGGAAGTTTTAAATTTAATGGAGGCAAATTCACAAAATTTTCCAAAAAATAGCAATGACATCAATTGAGGCCAAGGCTATGAATCTTGTAGACTGTAGTATTGTTTTTACTATTGGTACCATGCATATCGCTACCATTATGTTTTCTTGATTACCATTTTTGGATTTATCACCATAACTTCTAAAATTTATCATGTAAAAACCGTATTTATTTATTTATAAATGTGGCATTTTTTTCAATGTAATTTGTATGCTGAAGAACATGTAACATTTTTACCATCTAATCATTCTTATTCTAATCATTATTTTAGAAATTCTCACTATGCTTGGTTACCACTATTCAAAAACACTTTTCAGAAAATTCTACTTTCTTATTTTCCGTATTTTTTTGTTTTTACTGAATTTTTTAAATATTTTGAGCAATTTTTTTAATTTTTAGACATACCTAACATAAATATACTTGAAAAGTAAAAAAAAATTGAAAAAAACCTTTTAAAAATTCACTAAATACCAAAAATACAAAAAAAAAAACCCGAATTCAGTACATTTTTTGTATTTTTATGTATTTATTAATTTTTAAAAATATTTTTTCACAATTTTTTTACTTTTTAGATACATCTAAGTAAGGTGCATCTAAAAAAGTAAAAAAAAATGTTTAAAATTTTAAAAATATTCACTAAAAACAAAAAAATACGAAAACCAAAAAACTCAGTTTTCA